CGTGCGTGTTCACAATTTGAATACATTGCGCGCTCAAACATATACGTGTGTAACACCATTGTTCACCACGTATCTGTAGCAATAAAGTTAAACCATACCTTGCGATCATTACCGTGATTTACACCGAATGCAAAAAGAAAAGAAAATGTTCTTCAAGAAAGGTCCTAATTTTACGAAATAAGGCAACGTTTTCCACCACATCATTGGCCCCAAGCAAATTCAACATCATACCCATCATAACGGCGCACCGGTATCCACCGGGTGAGCGCGCAGTCAAAAGCGAGGCGGAAAACGCCACTGGAGGATGCAGTCTAATCTCACGTAACCGTCGACTTCAGAGAGCGTGGATGATCCTTTGCGTAGAAGCGATGTTTATCCCGCGCCTCAAAGCGTCACGGAAGGGGGAGGAAGCTTCAACCTTTGACATTAAGATTCTAAATATCTGCACGTCCGTTTGCGCTGTGCTCTGGCTTCCGCTCTGGAGTGTGTGTAGCAGTAAGTTTAATCGAGATGATAATATTACAACTGGTATTTTCTTTCTGGCAAAGTACTGTAGCGTGATGTGCAATATTCATTTTGAAATTATTCATTTGATGCACTCATAATAAAAAAACACATTGAAAAAGAAAATTACTCTTAGTGTTGGAAGCAGATATCAGCCGATTCAGAGTTTTATAAGAACAAAACTCTATGCATTAGATATAGTCGCCTAGGAGTAAATAATATATAAGATCGAGGGGTGCTGTCATTCAGGCTACCATTTTTTAATGAGTATTTGTTCTCGGAATCTGTATGACGTGAATGTTTTGGATGTTGCAGGAATGATCATTTAGATATCCTCAAATGGTGAGTATAATGAGAAAACTTTTGCTGCCTTCCCTCTCTCCCTAGTTCTTGAAACAAGTTTTAACGACCAAAAACCGAGGAAACTTAGGTTAAGTCTATGACTCTCGCTTGATACATACTTCGTCACGTTTATTTTAAAAATAAAGTTTCAAGACAGACACCAGTAAACGTAGCCTCCCAGTCTTTCAACGGAGTTCCTTCTTTCAGCCCCTTTCTTACACTTGCCTCCACATGTACTTACCCATACAACTATTCATCTGTTTTATTACGGATATAATCATATGGAATTATTTTGGTATATATATATATATATATATTATATATATATATATATATATATATATATATATATATATATATATATAATATATATATATATATATATATATATATATATATATATATATATATATATATATATATATATATATATATATATACATATATGTATTGTGGGTGTGTGTGTGTATGTATAGTAACCCAGCTATATTTATATCTAATTGCTATATGATACATACACACACACACACACACACACACACACACACACACACACACACCACACACACACACCACACACACACACAC